GGAGAAAGGACTCCTGGAGCAGTTTCTGTTTGAATCTACTTCTATCACAGCCCAGTTCCAAAAGCCAGCAGGGGAGAAGGAGTCATGAGTCCATCCTGCCTTGCTCCTCCCCCCACTCATCTTTCTTTCTCACTTCTCCCAACCCAATCAGATATTTCGTTTCCTTTTGCCCACTGATAAAGAGCAAAAGGGTTGAAAAGTTCTCAAACAAAATAACCCTCCACATTTTGGTTGATCTTCCACCTCAACCTGGACCCACCTCTCTCTCTCTTTAATGCCTCTTTCCCTGGCTGAATTTCCCTTTCCCCGCTTGCTCCTCAGTTAGGGACTTGCAAATGCACTGCACTCCATTGACCCCGAAGAGCTGCCAACTGGTGAAAGGTTTGCGGACAGCAATGTAACCTAGCAGGTTGGCCACATTCCGAGTGCCCACCTCAGCCAAGATCTCAGCAAAGACTGAGGAAGAAGGGCAAGGGCAGCTTGGGTTCAAGAGAGACAGATGTCATTTGTGCATGGACCTACACCCATAAGTGTGTTGACTTAACCTTTCTGAAAGTCCAGCTATTTCATTTTGGTGTTTGAGGGCTGAGGTATGGGCTATTTCCTATTTTTCCATAAAATTTCACCTGTCCCTAATTTTAGATTTGGGCAGTATATTAGATGCTTCATTTTCAGTGTCTGGGTTCTTCATGTAAGCATTATCATACTTTTATCTGCATCATGTACTGTACATAAATGTTTTCTACAGCTGAATAGTTCCTTCTAATGTGTACAAAACAGTTGTAGCCAGGTATTAAACTACAGTGAAGCAGTGTAGCCCTTATAAATCTTAATTTTTTATTGCAGATGAGCAGTAGAAACTGCTGAAACAGTGTCTGGAATGCCTCTCATGATGATTGGCTGCTGTAGCAAGAGAACCTCCTATAAGTAGACAGAGTAATCCAGTCTGTATGATTATATAATAACTCCCTTACTTACATCCTGCATTGTACAGTATAATTATCACCAGTTAAAGGTACAAATAGTAGCAAAATTAGTGATTTGTCTGTAGTGATACACATTTCTTTTCTAGCATACAATACATTTTCAATCTTATGCATTATCTATATTATATTAGACTTCATAGGTATAATGTGGATATAAAAATATGTTGATGGTTGAAATTTCAAACAGCGCTGCTATTCCTTCCAGAGGAAAAAGGTGCTAATTCTGACTTTTTATTTATGCATTCAGAGCAGATTTGTTTAGCAATAAAACAAAGGTTTAGTCAGTCTGTATTGTTCATTTCTGTTTTTCAGATCAATGCTAATGACAGCCTGTGACCTCGGAGCTGTGACCAAACCGTGGGAGATTTCAAGACAGGCAAGTCATGATTAATAGCAGGGCTGGGAAGAGGGGGGTATTAGCAGGACAATATTCCCAGGGTCCTGACTTACAAGGGAGCAAAACTGCAGTCAATTTACAACAGTATTAATGCAGTTAAAAAAAAAAAAAAAGTAGCAAAGGGTTTCTGCAAGGCATGGCTTATTGCACCATCTTTTCCTTTGCTTGATGCTGCTGAGGAATATTTAGGTACCTGAAGAGATCTTATTTTATATCCTCTCATCTATTAACCTTTTAACTCCATACCAAAAATGGACTTTTGGGGGGGGGGGGAGACCCCCCCCCCCCCCCTCCACATTGCAAACTTTTTTTCCTTTAGGTAAACCCAGAGTTACCCTTTACAATATACAAAATTCTATAGCCAATTGACAATAGCAGAATTTGTCCTAAATATGGAACACCAACAGGGACTGCCAATTGACACACATGTCCTAATGGATATAGGATATGCATTTTTTAGCATAATTAGCAGATTTCTTTATCTCAGCAGTGGCTTAACATTACAAGATGTAGTTTTAAAAGCCCTATTCAGCATTCCTTACTCAGAAAAAGAATTGCAGTGCTGAGTGTGGCCCTGAGAAATGTATAGAATACCTAGGCATTCATTAACATTTAGGTTTTGGGGAGACAAGCCACTATAGGATGAGACCGTCCTGTAGCTAGAAGGTTGGCTGGGTCAAGACTGGCCTCATCCAAGAGCCCTGACGGCCATCCATTCACCACTGCCAGAAATTTTCCTTGCCCGCCCTCCCCCCACCAGCCTCAATCACTGGCATAACCCATCTCCCCTACTATCAGTTCCCAACCTTATCTCAGTGAGTAACATGTAGGTAGAAGGCAGCTCATGTTGGGAGATGAAGCTTGGGATGAATATCCAGCAACAGAAGGCATCTAGGAGATGGGCCACTGACAGTGTAAAGTGGGTAAGTGGCATGAGTGAGTTTGATGGGACTAGTTAAAACACAGTGGACTGGAAGACAGAGGCTAGATGAGAAGAAGTAAAATGGAAAGAAGCCAATTTTCTTGGGGATGGACAAGGAGGGACTCTGGTTGGAAGGTGATAAGGTACTAAGGATGCATTACCTCAGTTGCAAACCTCCATCCTGTGTGATAAGGGTTTATCAACACAGCTGCAGTTCATGGTCTAGAGCAGGGGTGGCCAACCTGAGCCTGAGAAGGAGCCAGAATTTACCAATGTACATTGCTAAAGAGCCACAGTAATACGTCAGCAGCCCCCCGCCATGACCCCCCCCTCCCATTAGCTCCCCCGCGCCTCCCGCCCACCAACAGCCCTGCCGGACAGCGCCTCTCCGTCCCTCCCCACACCTGCTGATCAGCTGTTTTGTGGTCTGCAGGAGGCTCTGGGGAGGAGGGGGAGGGCATGGGAAGGGGTGGAGTGGGAGCAGGGCTTGTGGCAGAGCCAGGGGTTGAGCAGTGAGCTCCCCCTGGCACATTGGAGAGTTGGAGCCTGTAGCTCCAGCCCCGGAGTCAGTGCCTAAACAAGGAGTCGCATATTAACTTCTGAAGAGCCGCATGTGGCTCTGGAGCCTCAGGTTGGCCACCTCTGGTCTAGAGTGTTAGTGTAATTATTGAATAGGTATTTTTTTAAAGCAAAGAGTTGCATAGCTATTTGGTGTTTTGAATTCTGCTCTTGTGCTGTATTTAACATATGGGAAATATCTGGTATATATAATGTTAATGTTTCTCTCATATTTTAAAAAGCATTTTGGTATCCATCTCCTTCCAGAGCTCCTATTCCCCTGATGCAGTTTACAAGTAACACTGCAGGACAAAAATTTGAGGTCCCAAGACTCTTCAATCCCACCTCAGCTATGGCTGCAGCTCGTGGCATTACTCAGTTCCCCCTCCACCCCCATAACCCAATTAGCTTTTCCATTTCCTGTGGTATCAAAAGAGTCAGTTAGGATCTGCTTAGCACTTCTTGAATGAGTTTTGGGATATGGGAGATCAGTGGATGACCCTGGATTTCAGTACTGAAGTGTAAAACCAAACTATTTTTAATTAGGACTTACAAATGCTGCAGCTGAACCTTCCCTTGTGACCTAACTAACATGTATTTTGTATTAAAAATCCAGTCTAGGAGCATTAAGCATCATCAGATTGAGTTTTTCCAAGATAAAAGTAAATAGACACACTAATGAAGCCACAGAATGGGGAATCTGTTGACCCTCAACCTCACCTGGAGGAGGAGTCCTGAGAAGGGAGAGAGGTGAACAAAAATACATAAGTGGAAGGGACTAAAAAATAAGCACAAAGTACAAACACTCCAAAAGATTAGGAGAGGGACAAGACAAGACATACAAAAGGAGACAGACACAATGTTGAAGAGAGCAGGAGGAAAGGAGACAAGTACATATTGATTATTCATATAGAAGATACTTGTAAAGCCCATAATTGCTGTCAGGCTGTTAAATTATTGCAAAGCAAGGTGTATTAATCCATGATTTTATTCACATGATGGGGCTCCATATAGAAAAAGTCATTCCAAACTGTGAGATAAGATTCTGCAGGTAATTATTCTTAACTTAGCTGAAGATTTTAAATCATTTTATAATTTCAGTTCACATGCTTTCAATTGTGACTCATTAAGTTGTAGCAAATTTAAGATCTGATGATTGTTGATAGCCTGTACAAGTGACTGCATAGCAATCTTGCATTTCAATGTTAGAACAGGAAATTTAGAGTAATTCTGAGGTGCAAATTCTATCCTTAGTTCACCCTTGTGCGCCTTGATATTGCATATGAATGGTTTCTTATCAGTGTACCTCAGAAAAAGTAAGTAGCACAACAGGATGCGTTAAGAACAGAATGTCAGCTTGAGTTTCCAAGCTTTTTGTTATTTAGAAACACACCTTTATCTCAGTAGCTACATATTTGTGGGTGTGCATGACAGCAAGTACTTTTTAGTTAATGCTGCTGTTTATAGTAAAGTCACTTGCTGTCTGGGCTTTACTGGTTTCTTTAGGCTTCCAGTGTTTTCAAAAATAATCTTGTTTTGAATACTGCATCCTTCCAAGTAACACATACCATTGTCAAAAATGAAGGCAGCTTCATGGAGTCTGGCAAAAGAGTATAATACAGTTCCAAAAGTCAATGCCGCGATTCTTACATTTAATCAAATATGACAATTTTAATCAGTGTTCATATTTAAATGCTTAAGAGCTACAGTAATTAGAGTGGCATAGGATACATATAGTACAGAAAAACAAAACTGGGTGAAGTCAGTCTTAGGATTTCACATTAAGTTTAGCTAACACAATTTACCGATTAGCTTTGTTTCTCTAACAACTCAGAGTTTTTAGAGGCAGCAGTGGCAGCACCCAGAGTGCTCGTGTAGACTTTACAAAGTCTTTTTACAAAGATAGAATAGATGGTTATAAATTTTATATGCCCACATGGAACTATTCTCAAATGCATAAGTTACATGCTGCTCCAATTTGACTGATCATTGACAGGCATCAAAAGGAAATCAGAATGTTTTTGGAACATGACTACAGAGATATAGATATGAGTATACCTACAGTGTCCCATGACTGAGACCCAACCTCAGCAAGGTACTTAAGCATGTGCCTTACTGTAAGCACATGAATGGGACTACCCAGGAATTTATAATTAGGGGCCTTAAGCAATAAATGTGTGATTCTTACAAATAGCTAACATGAGCCTTAATCTTTAGTGTGATTATATTTTAGGCAGCTGAATTGGTAACCAGCGAGTTCTTTGAACAAGGAGACAGAGAGAGGTCTGAACTCAAGCTCACTCCTTCAGTAAGTTTATCATTACTTTTGAACTAGCTACCTGTGTGTGGCGGAGGAAAATTGTTTTCTGGTAATTGCTTTAATTCAGAGAAGCAAGTAGGTTTCATGAGAAGAAATACACAAGAGATATGGACAGCCTGCCACCGGAATCTGGTAGTGATATTTAGGGCCTGATCCAAAGGCCATTGAAATTAATGGAAAGACACCTCCCAATTACAGCTCTCCCCCGATATAACGCAACCCAATATAACATGAATTTGGATATAACGCGGTAAAGCAGTGCTCCCGGGGCGGGGGGAGGTGGATCAAAGCAAGTTCAATATAATGTGGTTTCACCTATAACGCGATAAGATTTTTCGGTTCCTGAGGACAGCGTTATATTGAGGTAGAGGTGTATTTCAATAAGGAGTAAGGGCTTGATTCAAAGCCTATGTGCTGTACATATCCCAAAGTTTACATTGTCAACTCATTTTACAACAGCACTGAGTACAATATCCAAGATGCAATATTCACACCAGAAGTCACATTACTAGAAAGCATAATTACTTCATTTGTGTTACAGTGTGACATTGCTGACATCAGTTTTATGTGATGTATCCCTGTACCCTTTGAGGAATCGTTTCTGTATGCCTACAAGTAACGTTACCACCATCATTATAGGGTAATTTGGGATGGTCTCTACATCATATACAGATCTAGATAAGACACGTGGAAAGGTATAAACTGCCAAAGGAAACTGCAAAGAGGAAAAGTGACCAAAAAACCCCACCCTATTAAAGATTTGCAGTGGGAGATAAAAGAGAGGACCTTCCCACTTAAATATCTTAAAAGCAGACTTATGGGGGGAGGGAAGATGAGACAGACAGTTAGGAGTTCCAGTTGAAGCCATTCAAGAATATAAAAACAGATTGGTCATCTTAATCTTCATATAATTCTGCATACAGCTGATACTTCAAGAAAATGGTCCAACCTACTCATATGAGTTGTCACTTTGATGCTGCTGTGTGGTAAGCACTCACTGGGCCAGATCCTCAGCTTGTATAAATCAGCATCGCTCTACTGAGGTCAATAGAGTTGCAACAATTTACACCAGTTGAGGATCTGACTCAGTGACTTTCGGTTACTGTGAGCTGATTCAGCATGGCTTACAACTTTGTACATTAAGCTAGAGGATCCTGAGAAGATAATGAATTTCTCTCCTGTAGTAGTTCTCTGTGTAGACCTTCCCAAATACATAAGTAAAAAAGTAGCTATGGTACAGGGGATTAGCAGTTAATCAGCCATGGCACTAACAATGTTGGTGCCTTGGACCAAATCTAGCCTGCAATAACTGAAAGTACCATTCCATATCATATGTATTTATATGCATTTCACATAATGCATATAGAAGTGAAAGCGTGCACCTCACACTAATGAAGTCCCACTGTAACAGAAAATAATTTTACTTTTAAAACACACTACTATCTTCAAATAGCAGGGAATTCTAATGCCTTGGAGTATTTCATGCAAATACCCTAGCATCAGCAATATTAAAAATGAATCCAGGCCATATCAGGAAGTGTGCATTTTGGTCAGATCATCGACATGGAGACTCCTTAATATAGTAGAACCCACCTCGCTGAAGTAGCAGGGCAAGGTGTAAGAACAGGATGTTGGGACCATGTGCACAGATATATACCTTAGCAGAGCTCCTGAGGGCTCTGGGAAAGCTGTATGCAGCAGCTTTAGAAAGAGGGGAAGGGGGATGTGTTGTTGTGCATGTCCTCAGGGCTTTCTTCCCAACACAGGGATGGCACTGAGGCTGTGGTGCCTACTCCAGCCAGTAAGATGGGGAATTCCCCACAATACGAGTCCACTCCTGCTCTAAGGCCTAAAAGAAAAATTCTACCCCTCCTCTTTACCCCATGGCATTCTCAGTTTCAAGACAAATTACTTGGGCTGGGGATGGGTTGAGGTTTGAGCCAATGTGAACTAATGAGAGTTGATTAAAAACAAATGAAAATTAAAAAAAAAATTAAAAAATGAAGTTAAATAAAACCCTGATGTTAAATAAAAGTACAGGTTTATTTTTAAAAATAAGCCTATTTAAAACAGTCTATATTAAAGGCCAAACTTACTGCATCTATTAAAGAAACAAGGTGGGGGAGGTAATATCTAACTATGTATGCTAAACTATGTTCAGTCTTTTATTTAGCTCTGACACTTAGTGCCTTTCCTAGACCTGAAGAGCTCTGTGTAGCTCAAAAACTTCTCTCACTCCCACCAACAGAAATTGGTCCAATAAAAGCTATTACCTCACCCACAGTATGTCTCTGATATCTTGAGACCAACATGGCTACAACTCTGCAAATATCTATTAAAGTTATTTAAATTAATTACAAACAATATTAAGTAGTACATGCATGCTGCCAACTTTCTTTAAAAGTCAACCCATATGATGGTGGAAGTCACCGGCTAAGCACCTGAAACCAGTTTGTTGAACTGCTAAACCAGCTTTTGATAGCAGTAGCCTCTTCTGCAGATGCAGAGAACAGATACCTTCTTCAGTTCAGTTTGTTCAACAAATTCAGTTCCATAACTAGTTCATTCAAAGTTAAGAAACCAACTGAGAGTTGAGGTAGGGGATGCGGGGGAGGAGGGAGAGGAGAAGAAGAAGAAGGAGGAGGAGGAAAGCTTGTTTTCCTCTTCCAATTTATTAATAAAAACTAGGTGAGAGAGGATAGAGGAGTTCTAAAATCTTGAACCATATGGTGACCAGAAATAATCACATGAATTCATGAACTACACACAATACTTCCTTTGTTAAAGGAAACAGTTTTAAATGGAAAACACGTTTTGATAATTTTTTTCTTGTGTATCCAGCATTTAAAGGTAGGTTTGTTCAATTAAAAAACAAAAACTGCTGGTTTTGTGCATTTTTAATTGCATTTGAATTTCCATCCAAGTAGAGCTTGCCACAAATCACATGTAAAAATGTAATCTGGTAAATTAAAAAAAAAAAAAAAAAAAAAAAGCCACACATCATTCTCCATTTTCTAATGTAATAGAAATGTAGAAATTAAACAACTGAATAAGTTTAAATTAATCTATATAATTGCTTTAATATATATACTGTATCTCCCTCATTAGCAAAAAGATGCTCCAAATTTAGCGTGAAGGCTATGTTTAGTTGGCTTTAATTGTTATCAACAATCAATCTCTCTTTAGGAAAAGAACTAAAAGTACAAATGCAGGACAATTAAAATCAATTATTTAAATCAAGGTTACCTCCTTGCTGATTTAAATCATGATTAAAAATCTGTGTTTTAATCTGCTTTGATTTAAATCAATCCACCTTGGAACTAATGATGGAGTACACAAAGTGTAAAGTCTGAGGGATAAGGGGCCAAAATCAGAGTGTTACTATTTGAATAATGGGAATTCCTAAAAAGCTACCGTAGTAGTCTCCAAAATGTTTAATGGTTCAGCCATAACACAGGTCACAACAAACAAACAAACAAACACACACACACTGCTCGTGAATCTAGAGAAGCTAGCTGGTCAGGAAGACAAAGTGGTATCCTCTGACTGTCCACACAAGGTAATTATCTTGGAGTAAGCTTACAAAACAGTCTACATGGAACAAAGAATGGGATTTTCAGAAATACCTACATTACTTAAGAGTCCAGGTTAAAATTTTCAAAATCCCACACAAAGTTCTACTCTCTCTTCTTTAAGTGAATTCTTGGATCCCATCTTCGGTTTCCACTAGGATATCATTAGATAAACAGTCAAATTCAACTTACAAATTTCATAAACAAAGCTGAAAATAAAAACAGTTGATTTTTCATGCTAGACAAAGGGCTAGGAAGACTAAACACCAATTACTGTTTCTGAAGTGTTCAGTTTGTAACAGTTTGACCATAGTTCCAAAGTGCTGGATAAAGCATCTGTAAAATATTCTATTTTAATAAAGCGTAACACTTTCTCCCCCCCCACCCCCTTCTCCATTCAGGCTATTTTTGATCGGAACAGGAAAGATGAACTACCCAGGTTGCAGTTGGAATGGATTGATAGCATCTGCATGCCTCTGTATCAGGTATTTTTTTTTACTTCTACAATTGTAGAATCAGAACACTGGTCCTGCATCTCCGAGAGAAAGAGGTAGCTTATAGAACAGCCTTAGAAGCGGTCTGAATCTTTAAATCACTGCATTTATTCATGAAACGCCTTTAACTTGCTTCCTTCTTCAACTTTACTCAAAATTCTAAGTTGAAAACAGAAAATTTTAAATTTACTGAAGATTAGATGATTGTTGTACAGTAAATATCATTTCTCTTTAAAATTTAAAAGCTTCAAGGATCTTTTTCCATCATTCTGCCTGACATATGAGACAACATCAACATTATACCAGGGCTATACTGTGCAAAATGGTTTATTCAATGGATAATTCTGACTCAGCATTGTGTGTATGTGTATATATATATATATATCTCCAGACCTGAACAGCTGTGGCCCAAGGGAAAACACAGGGCTGAATTATTCCACTCCAGTTCTGGCTCTTCTCCAAGCTCAGAGTGTCTGATAGAAGCTTTGGAGGGGCATTCCAGGCCAGGGCCTCTGAAATCACTGGAGATGTGGCCCTTATTTCAGCAAGTACCTTATGTTGTCTAACCCATAATGTGCTCCTTTGATCAGGCACCCAGAGATTAACTTGTGTTCCTAGTACAAATCAGATGCATATAAAATAGCTATGTTAGGGGCTGCACATGAGCAGAATCTTCCAGTTTAATCCAGACATTTAAAGCCAGGAGGTACCTCTGCATGCAAGTGGAGGTACAAGCAAGCCTTGAATATAGAGGACACTTCATAAACAGTAAATGGGCTAGAACAAACAGATCCAGAATTTTGCCCACATGGAACATGCAGTTCACTATTTTAGTTCTGTTTTTAATACAAGGCACAGCTATACAGTAATGCTTTACAATCTCAACCACAAGTCACTGAGTCAACACCTTTGACACCTCCTTGTCAGCCAAACTCAGCAACAAACCCTTCACTCTGTCTCAGGCTAGCCTCCCATGGAAGTCAGAGGGAATTTTGCCTGAATAAAGACTGCAGGATTTGGCCATCAGTGCACAATATATGGGGAACAGATACATTAGAAAATTAATATCTAATGAGGCATTAAAGGGGGACTTTCTGTATGTTACCAGAATGGCCAACTATTCACTTTGAAATCTGTGCAAGAGTTGTGCTCTCCTCCTGCACAGCCTTGTGCTCCCAGAATTCCCTGTGACTTCAACAGGCATTTGAGTGTACACGGAATGAAGGACGGGCGTTTAATAGCAGTTCCAGTCTGTTCAGACTAACTCCATTGCTCAGACATGTAATTGTGTGATTTAGCTCTTATCCATAAGAAGAATATTGTTTTAGGAATTTGTCTTCTAATTATGAGCCACATGTCACTAGTAGCTGCTAAAGCAGAGGGGAAAAGTGGAGGCACATGAGCAGGCAGCTTCCAAATAAGTGAAAAATGGGCATTAACAAAACAGTCTTTACAATTAGCAATCCTACCTTTATATAAAGATAAGTTCTCTTTCAATGTCCATTTCCCCCCTTATTTATTTTTGCTAGTCTTATTTTCCCAAACATGACAACCTCATTAGGAATCCAAATTCTTATGCCAGAAGTCATGATTTATTTGTGACAGTGTCTTTAATCAGAAAGAGTACAATAAAGCAGGGTGGGCAGAGAATCAAAGCAGCCTCTGTGTGAGTAGACTAGATCTGAACACTAAAGCACTGGTTAGTTAGCTCCATCCTAGCAGGAGATCTGTGGGGAATATATTCACATCTGATTCCCCTCTTTTCTGCTGTCTTTGCATCATGCTGTGCAGCTATTAGCCTGCTGCTCAACTTAAAAAAGAGAGACACCATCAAACCTTGAAGTCATTGCAGCACCAGCCTTAGGGGTAAACAGAAAACTTGATGTCACAGTATCACAGTGTGAGCTACCCTCTTGAATATAAAGCCAAGTTTTAATTTCCATATCCAACTTAATCAAACCTCCATATACTCATCGCATCACTGATGCGCAAAGGCACTGTAAATTCTCTGTTTACAGATAGTAAGAAACCTTTTTTAGGGCTGCACTATATGCACCACAAATATTTCAAGTTCAGGGGTTTTTACTCTTCCATATACATTTCTCTTTTAATTTTAACCTTTGTAACAAATTGTACGTATCATGGGATACAAAAGTCCCAGTTATAGATACATCCAAGACTTGTGAATGAAGCATGAAGAGGTGGAGTATTGGTGGACAATAAGAATTAACAAAACCTGAGCAATGCTTATATAATGCACTGGCATATAGTTTAGAAGTTAATGGTTTGAATAAGTGTAGAATTTTATATCTAGTATTGCCATTTTGGTATAACATTAATCCAAACAATAATCAAGGATACATGCCTGTAGCCATTTCCCCACTGAAGTCAGAGGGGAGTTTGGGTTTAGTAAGACCTGCAGTAAAAGGCCTGCAAATCATGCTGATTAACTTCAGATAAATGTAATAATGCTATTGTACATTCCTCCAAAGCGTCAGTTAAAGGAAACCAAAATGAGAAAGAAAAAGCAGAAACAGACACTTCCAAAGTCCTAAATCTGAAGGTTTTTTGTATCAATTATTAAAAATGTAAACAGACAAGCCCACTCACCAGGTCTAGCTCCTGCTAATGTAGCCCTCCCCTTGATCCTTAGGCTGCTCTAAATTATTATGGTGGCTAGGGCCATCCCTAATGGATCTCTTCACTAGTCAAGGGTTGCTGGAGTGCAATGCATTTTCAGCTCTCTTCCCTCATGTTCTCAACCTGCCCAGTAATGCCCCCTCTGCTGTTGCACTGCAGAGGCCAGTTTCAGTCACCTATAAGTGTTTTTCTTATGAGGGTGTTGTTGGCTGCCTTTGACTTTCCCATGATCCAAGAGATCAAAGACCAGGAGTAATCAACCTAAATTAGCTACTGCAAAAGTGTGTAAAACTGCAGTTAGCTATGACCTTTCAGAGGAGGCCCCATAGAGATTAAATTACTTTTCTGCCCTAAATACATTGGTTGCTTCCAATAAGCAGGGGGGGGGGGAAGAGAAGGGAAGAGGAATACTGGAGCCAATGGGTGAGGAAACTAACATTGAAATAATACCTTGAACTTCATTTAGCAAGGCCTTAACCCATATGAATCAATTTCTCCTGCAGTGAACTCGATTTCAATCAAATATCTGTTGTTTGATAAGAATTTATAACAGCATCCCTCTAGAATTAGCATATACATGTGTGGTTATATAATGACAGAACATAAATCTGAAGTATGTTTTTCTATATCATTTTGTATATCATTTTCCAAAACTTTAAATGAGAGATGTCTACCATATAGGTGTGCTCAATTTAGATTCTTAAGAGTATTGTATTAATTACCCAAGCTGTTTGGACCCATCATTAGTTTAATATCTCCATTCAGTGAATAAGACTGATGGCTGTTTTTATTGGGGACAGGGACTGTCTTTTAGGACTTCCAGAAAGAGTGTGCAATTTTGTATTCTTAATTTGTGATTGTGGAACAAGTCAGGTGTATGTGTACTCATATTGGCACTGAGATACATAACTGAATATGCAAACATCAAAGTTGTTTATGCCAATAAGGCACACAAGCACAGTAACATTTTTGCACATGCAGTCGTGCAATAACCCAGTTTAATAATACAAAGAAAAACTAACAAGTTTGAATTTGTCTTTAGAAAGCATTAAAAGAAATCAAAATATTTCAAAGTTGGTTATATGGGCATTTTAAAATTTTTTTGGTTATTTAGTTTAATTGTTAGCCAGTGTTGTTTTAAGTTATAAAATTTGAGAGATTTGAAACTTTCCAATTCCAGTGCTTGTAGTAATCAACTTTGATTCTTTCCTCCTTCTGTGCATCATATGGTTGTGAAGATAAGAGCTTCCTGATTCTTTATTCTTTATTATATTTAAGATGCTATAACTTTACTGAATTTACTCCTCTTTATAACTAGATGTAATGATCAGTGTCATATAAAATATTCTGATTGCTAGAGTTTTGTTTTGAGTTACAGTACATCTATCTATTTCAAAATTGGAGCATTTGAATAATTTGAGACTTTCCTTATGCTTTAATGCCCAATGTTTATTCTTCATTAAGAATTACCATGGGAAGCACTCAAATAGAAAAATAGGTGATCAAACTTAGTAGCTTAATTTAGTAATTCCAAAAACTTAGTTTTTTCCTTGTAGAATATTTCAAGCCCCCTGATACAGGCTCAGTATCAAGTATAAATAATAGTAGTATTGCCTCCACGGTTTTGGCTAGGACACTCTTCAGAAGAGGAGAGAAACAGATTTGTCTAAAGCAGAAAAATCTAGGGCATCACACTGAACATGAAGTGACTGTGTGTGCTAACTATTAGATGCGCTCACAGCATGTGGAAGAGCACTTGGGGTGCAGTTTTACAGTTCCAGTAGATATTGGACACACATGTACACAGTTTTCCCTGTAACTAGAATAACTCAGCATTTGTGAAGCATTTAAGACAGATTTATTTGCATTTCACAGATCTTGAGGCACTAAAAGCCTCCATGCAAGTCGTGTTCAAGTTTCAACAGCACAAGGATCGTCTTCTAGACTGTGGTTGCATTTTGCATGCACCTAGGGCAGGGTTGACCTTAAAGCTTTGATTTCCCTAACTAAGACTAGCTTACAGCCCTCCATATGAGGCGCAGATATAGAAAAATATAAATCTGATCAGATATCTTCACAAACATTAAGGATTTGACTTCAAACAAAAGATGCTAACACAAATCCCCCTGCTGCTCACTGCACTGTTGGGCTGAGACAGTAACATCATGAATAGCAAGGCCTAAGGTCAAACTCTGCTTCTGTGTGTATAAATACATAGTCAAGTAGTCAGTGACAAAGGGACAGCAGCTATTTTACATTTAAGGGAGATGTCTTTGTGGAAGATAAAGAAGTCCACAACTGCATGCTTCTACCTTGGCACCGGGGATGGCTGCTTATTTCAGTTTTAGTCA